GGCCCATTTTCGTTGCTTTTTAAAAATATGACCATTCACTTTTTACATTTCTTATGTCTCATACACACACACACACACACACACACACACCAAAAAGTGTCTCATATTTGCACTGAAATGATTTTTCTTTAGGAATACACATGGCAAGGGAACCAAGTAGGATGGGCTCTGCGAAATGTCTGCTATCTAGAGTCTGGATTGTGGAAAAGGATCTGCACCAAGTCTCAGATTGTGCCAGACAGGGCAGTTAGTGAGTCATGTAGCAGGGACCCTCCGACGGCCTGGGAGCAAAGCCCTCTTGGGTGACCACAGGCCCAGCAGGGATAGGTCGTGAGAGTGAGTGCAAGTGTAGAGACTCGTTAGCATTTGCTGCTTCCCGGTGAAGGGTTATCGGGTGAGGACGAGCGGGTCCCTTAGAGCACCAGTGACTTTTGGGAATTACCTGCAAGAAGGTACCAAGAATTACCCCCAACTTCTGTCACTAAACTACAGGAGAAGTTGCCCCAGTAAGGGGCAAGAATGCTATAAACAGATGTTTAAACATGTTGACAACCATGGCTCCAGGGATGCCTTTTCCAAAAATTTTCCGGTTACTGAAACATAAGAGTTCAGATTTCTAATACCAGTAATAATAGAACCGCACATAAGCAATGTGCCCCACCGCGGACACCCTCGCTTGTATCACTTACCTCCTTTTCCATGAATACTGAAAACAAGGTTCTCAAGGAGGCTTAGGGACCTGCCCTGAGTCACTGAGATACAAGGATGCAGAGCTAACAGACCCCATAGCTTAGAAGGTAAGAGTCTCGCTGTTTCCGTTTACCACTCACGTAACTGTGGTTTTCTTAGAAGACACATCTTTCCACTTTCTTCAAACCACTCACTTTGTTTGTAAAAATAACATCGATCACTGGTAACACACTTTAGTTGGAATATTGTGCATGTATAGAAACACGATGGAGGGAAATCCCTCTTGTTTCTTCTCTTTGTAATTTCCTTCGAAGATAATAAATTTGGGCCTGTAATTATTTTTGTTTTTATTTCTTTTACCTCTTACTATTTATAGCATGACTAAGTGTATAAAAAGGGAGAAAGAGAGAGAGAGAGATGAAAGAAAGAAGAAAAAAAGAAAGAGAAAGAGAGAAGGAAAGAAAGAAAAAGGAAAGAAAGAAAGAAAGAAAGAAAGAAAGAAAGAAAGAAAGAAAGAAAGAAAGAGAAAGAAAGAAAGGAAGGAAGGAAGGAGGGAGGGAGGGGAAAGGAAGAAGGAAAGAAGGAAATGAAGGAATTTGTATAATTTAGGAATTTGTAGTAGAAGGGATAAAACAGTTCAATTCAGTCGCTTGTATTTGGTGATTTAAGCAAAATGCATAAAACACTAGTCATGAGTTTCAATTTCAACTCAGGACTAATTCAATATGGCAATCATTTGTATTAGGGCCATTGTGTAGGTTTTAATTGAAGAGCCAGCAATGCTTCTTAAGTTTTGTTTTGTGCTGTGTTTCCTCATGTTGTTGCATACCTGTACACTCCCGTTTTTAAAAAAACTAATACTCTTTTTTTCTCATTTAATATTCGCATTTCCTTAAAACACACGCGCTATCTAGCATCTTCCCTCCTTTGCACCTTTGCTGTCTTGCTGTAGAAGGTCATACTCCTTACAGCGTTTGTCTCTCTCTTGAAATTTGATTCCAACTGGGCAGCAGGACTGAGCCAAGCCCGGGGTGTCTAACAACCTCTGCAAGCAGGAGAGGCAGAGGATGCTGGCAGGCTCAGAAAAGCGTGGACTCGTGCATCTTGGCATGCTGCCCCTTGGGTTTCTCCTCCTTTTCTGATACAGAGCTTTATAATCATTTCAATTTCGTGACCTGCTTGGGCGCATTCAGACTTGGTGTGGAGCCAGCTGGGAAACATTCAGACACACCCATGGTCAAGTCCGAGGGGAGAGCTTTAGAAGAAACTCTTCTAAATCAGTTTCTTTTGGGGTCACTATGGCTCCACTTCATCAAAGAGGAAGAAAAAATTTTAGTGATCAATACATTTCAAACATACAAAAGATTTCAGGGATATAAAAAGAGCTCCCTCAGTCCTGGGTCTACTATTTATTCATACTGTGAAGAAGACCAAATGCCCACTCCTCTCCGAGTCGGTTTTCTCTTCCGTAATGGTGAGTGACAAGAATACCCCAGCAAGATTATATAATAATTTTATAAAACGACATATTATATTTGGGGTACAGATCAAAGTATTGGGATATTATTGAAGTATTGGGATACTAGACATTTTTAAGTATCCACATTAACATTTTTTAAATGTAAACAATGGCAGCTTTGATATCATTTGAACACTTTTAAAATAATACCCTAAAAAAAGCCAGGTTCTACAAAAATAGAGTTAATGCCAAGTGGTTCTTATAAATGCCGTTTCTCTTCTTTTTAGATGACCTCTCTTCTCTCTTGCTTAAATTATGTTGTTTACACTTCTGTTGAAAAATGTGAAACTGTTAAATCAAGGTTAGCCCTAAGCTGCCTCCTTACACATTTGAGTTCGGCCTAAAGGTATTTCTGCACATGGTGAACTTTAACAGGTGGAGGCTTAATGGACTGTAGCCTATGCCTGTGCCAGTCACCTAGTTTCGGCCAATCAAATGTAGCCAGCTGTTTAAACCGTGTTCACATAAGGCAAACGCCGAGCTGCCACCCATCCAGCTGTGTCTGTACCTCACTTCTGTTTTCTGTTCCTCACGCTCCTTTCTCCATAAATCTTCTTCCCCCGCATGGCTGCGCTGGGGTCTCTGAGCCTCCTCTGGCTGGGAAGGCCGCCTGATTCACAAATTGTTCATTACTCAATTGAACGCCTTTACATTTAATCCAGCCGAAGTTTTTCTTTTATCAAAACCAAGGCTAACTTTTTGTCTAACTTAAAATATACAGAGCCAAAAATATACAAAATCAAGTTAATGCTAATTAGCTTGATTGTGGTGATTATTTTACAATGTACACATTGCACATCTTAAGTAGATACAATTTTTGTCAATTAGACCTCAATGACGCTTAAAAAAGAATTCAAAAAGGAAACATAATGAGAATAATAAAATATACAACACCAGTGCAGAATACTTACTTAGGCATATTTTTGATCAGTCAGGTGTGTTTAAAAGATCTTAGTTTTCGATCCCGGCTGTTACCAGAAACTGGTAACAGAAATATAGCCCCAGGGGGTAGATATTCAAATGGATCTGTTTGTGTAGCTCTCATTAGTGATCTGAAGTATATAAAATATGTATTGTAAGGTTTCCCTGTGCTCACTCACCCCTCGGTGACCTCTGCACAAGCAGTGTACAACAGCTGGCTGCCCTGAGGGCCAAGCAGTTAAGCTACAGAAAGAAAGCGGTTTTTTCTGAAGGCTAAAACAAGCTGCGGAACTTAGGCCCTCCGGACCGCTACCTCCAGCGGAGACTGCTGCGTGCAGGAGGTGGACGGCGCTGTCCTCCCTGTTTGCAAGACTCTGCAGGCACCAGTGAGGATAACCTAACAAGAATCGCTTTTCTATCGCCAGCAAATGCTACTGTGGGTGCAGAGAAGCCAGAAGTCCCAGGGAAACCTGCGTGCCGGAAAGGCCCTCCAGTTACAGGAATGATTCTCTCTGTTTCCACCAGCACTGGCTGGGCCTCCTTCCCCATACTGATGGGGTCTGAGGGGGGACAATGGGGCAAAGAGTCAGATGAGGCAGACAAAAGGTTGATTCTCCTACTGTGGCCTGTTACTAATTGGTGCAAAAGAGCTATTGAAACCATCACCCTGATGTGCAAAAAAAAAAAAAAAAAAAGCAGAAAAACGAAGCAAACAGGCTTAGATGGGACGCTAAAATGATGTTTAACACACACACATCTGAATATAATTGATTGCTGCATTTTATTTTCAGACATTTTAAATGTTCAAACTGACCTTCGTTTAACCCTCAGAAATTCGATTTATTTCCCACGCGCAACATTTGGACATTTGCATTCCGCGTGCGGCTAGGAGAACTTGCTTCCTGCTCCTGTGCATATTGGCTCCTGTGAATATTAAAATAAAGACACAGAAAAGGAAGACGGGAAAAAGAGAAACAGAGGGAGCCACAAGGGAAGAAAGAAGGAAAAAAGAGAAGCATTCTTGAAACCAAATAAAATCCTTAATGTCAAGTGGAGTAATTCTACTGTGGGAAGGTCTCCAGGCTGGGGGAGAGTAGGAGGTAGAGGGAAATGAGGAAAGGCAGGGACCGCAGGATGTTAGGCTGAGATTTTTCCACCTAAGTAACACAGTGTCTGACAGTTTGATATGTGTTATTAAATGCTACCACTGTCAGAATCTTCGTAGCGCTCTCCACAGTTCTTTAGCCCCAAACCCACTAAACTTCCATGTACATTGACCCTTGAACAATGGTGGGGAGGCGCCGGGGGTGGGAGCACCAGCCCCTGTGCGGTAAAAGTCCGCATATGACTTTTAACTCCTTAAAACCTTAGTTACTCATGGCCGACTGTGGACTGGAAGCCTTGTCAACGATATAAACAATCGATTAACACATATATTTATGTTGTATGTGTTATATACAGTACTATTATAATAAACCAGTTAGAGAAATGAAAATGTTATTTGAAAAATCATAGGAAAGAGAAAATGTATTCACTGTTCAATAAGTGGAAGTGGACCCTCACAAAGGTTTTCATCCTTGTCATCTTCACGTTGAGTAGGCTGAGGAGAAAGAGGAAGGGGAAGGATCAGTCTTGCTGTCTCACGGGTGGGAGAGGAAGAAGGGAATTTGCATAGAAGAGCATCTGTGCTGTTCAAACCTGCGTTGTTCAAGGGTCAGCTGTACGGAGAACAGTCATGGAGAAAAAGGGGGGTGCTGTCTAAAAACTCTCTTCCTTATTAAACCTCACTTTTGGAGAAGCCTACATGACAGCAGATATGCGAACATCTGGAACAGGTGATTAAATGAATATCTCTTGTTTTAATCCAAAGGCCCAGCCTCATGTAGTCATCCAAAGGTGTCTATTGGCAGCAACTCTGTAGCACAGAAAGCAAATTTTCTCTCTGGAAGGTATGTCATCTTGTTCTTTGATTTTTGGAGACCCCAGCTTTAAAGCTTGTTTATGATCGTGACTTTGAAAAGCTCCCCAAGACACTAACAGCCTTGTTACTACCCCCAGGTCTGGCACAAAGCTCAATGCCAGTAAGATGAGCAAGATTCGCTCAGCACTGCAGGAGTAACACTGCAGAGACCATGGGTACGGCCTGAGGCCTCCGTGCGGACAGCTCTTCAGGTGGGGTCGCGGGTGTCTGGTAGGGATCTGGAGCAGAGCTGAGCAGAATCTTGAAGAGTTGGCTTGGAGCCCACCATGTAAAACACACCCCCCATACACACAATTGGCATGGGATTCTTCCAGGATTTAAAACAAAATTTGTATATTCCTCAGTGCTTAATTTACTACCGAAGGGTGATTTGACTTCTGGTAGGAATTTAGTTCCATAACCAGGGAATGATGATCAAGACAAAGACAGTGTGTAATTTGAGGTTAAACTCCACGACCCAACATAGCAATATCTCTTTATCATTTTTATTTCCGATCTTGAAGTGGATAGAGTACAAGTGTAAGAAAACAAATGACCTTTTGTTTCCTTCCAAGGTTCTAAATGCTTCATCTGGGTTTGGGTAAATGTTTACATTTTCATTGTGTTAGGAAAGATGTTATTATCTTAAATCACTTCTCTGTCTCTATGCCTGATCATCAGACCCACAGTCTCCACATTCTCATATCATTTTATAAATGTATCATGTTCATGCATAAATATATGAACTACTCGTATTTATTTAGCCCTCATATTGACTACTGAAATACACTGGAAGGCTTAAAACTTTATATGTGGGCAGTATCACATTAAGTATGAGATTGATATCTAGCACATATGACAGCAGACATGCAGACATCTGGAGTGGGTGAGTAAATGAATGTCCTGGATTAAATGAATATCCAGCACCCTCCTTGTTCTCCACGACTTTTCTCTATAAGGTTGACCCTTGAACAATGCAGGTTTGAACTGCACAGATGCCCTTATAAGCAAATTTTCTTCTGCCTCTGCCACCCTGAGACAGCAAGACCAACCCCTCCTCTTCCTCCTTCTACTTAGTCTACTCAACATGAAGACGAGGATAAAGACCTTATGATGGTCCACTTGCACTTACTGAACAGTGAATATATTTCTCCTCCTTATGATTTTTTAAGTAACGTTTTCTTTTCTCTAGTTTACTTTATTGTAATAATGCCACAAATAACAAATACAACATACAAAATATGTATTAATTGACTGTTTATATCATTGATAAGGCTTCCAGTCAACAGTGGACTATGAGTAGTTAAGGTTTCAACAAGTTAAAACTCATGTGCCGACTTCCTTTATTTTTTTATTTTATTTTTTGTGAGATGGAGTCTTGCTCTGTAGCCCAGACTAGAGTGCAGTGGCATGATCTTGGCTCACTGAAACCTCCACCTTCTGGGTTCAAGTGATTCTTCTGCCCCAGCCTCCTAAGTAGCTGGGATTACAGGCTCACACCACCATGCCCTGCTAATTTTCGTAGTTTTGGTAGAGACAGGGTTTTGCCATGTTGGCCAGGCTAGTCTCGAACTCCTGACCTCAGGTGATCCGCCTGCACTGGCCTCCCAAAGTGCTGGGATTATAGGCATGAGCCACGGGGCCTGGTCCATAGGTTGACTTTCTACTGCACAGCAGGCTACTGCTCCTACCTGCCACAGTGAATACCGCTTCATTTTTGCTAAAGAGAAAATGGAAAAAGTCAAGTGAGTCTTTGATAGGGACAACAGTGTTTTGTTTATGAACACAGAAGGAGTTCATAAAATCAACTGAGGGTCAGAGGCCAAAAGGTTGTGTTATTGCTATTTGTATTCTTCTTTTTTTATTTTTTTATTTTTTTATTTTTTTTGAGACGGAGTCTCGCTCTGTCGCCCAGGCTGGAGTGCAGTGGCCGGATCTCAGCTCACTGCAAGCTCCGCCTCCCGGGTTCCCGCCATTCTCCTGCCTCAGCCTCCCGAGTAGCTGGGACTACAGGTGCCGCCACCGCGCCCGGCTAGTTTTTGGTATTTTTTTTAGTAGAGACGGGGTTTCACCGTGTTAGCCAGGATGGTCTCGATCTCCTGACCTCGTGATCCGCTATTTGTATTCTTATCTAACATACTGAGAACTTTTTATCACTGTATTAAGTATCCATACAGTTGTAAAACAGCAAGTCTTTAGAAAATGTTAAATTGCAGAATAATCATCATCCAATAAATTATATATTATTTTAGGTTGAGAATTGAAATAAAATATACAATTTGTAACAGCTACCTGCAAATTTGCCAACCAACATACAATCATAAAATGTGATTAACTATTTGAAAAGAAGCACTTCAAAGATTAAAGAAATGACTAAAGTAAGTTATTCTCCAAGAAAATAAACATAGTTTTATGTATTTGTATTGTATAGAATCATATTGACATCTTATTTTCTATATGGTATGAGTGACTTATGGAAGTTAATGACCCTTATCCTTTAGCTCCTCAAACACACACACACAAACATGCACACAGACACACACACACATGCACACACATAATTTTTCCTGGAGACATGCATGGGGCTCTAAGGATTTTTCTTGATTGATATGGAAAGATTAAAATATCTAGAGTCACATTTTCTCTCCTCTCACCTAGAAACCTTTGCATTTTGTGAAGTTAGCAGTTTTATTGATCAAGTTGTTTGTCAGCAATAATGAAACAGTTGGTTTATTGAGTTCTTTGGGTAATGAAACCATCATTAACTGTACCAGGGAAGGAAAACTAGATTACAAACTTTCATTACTGCATATATTTGAGAAAAGAGATTTCTTAAAGTATATTTTTTCATAGTAAAGATGGTACCAAATGCAGTTATAGAAATATTAATTTGGCATAGTATTACGGTATTGGAAAAAAACACAAAATTTATAAAAGTTATTCTCTTTATTTCAGGAAAAACTCTGTCTAACCAAGAGAGTTTTTACAAGTCTTTAATGAAAGAAGCTTAGCATTTTCCTTGATAATTACCCCTAAAGTCTAACAATAGCTCTACTCAAGAGCTCCTATTGTATGTAATTTTTTTAAAGTCCAATTTTTACCAGTTTCTCCCAGAAGAGAAATAATTGATTTCCATTCTCTGAATGACTTAAAAGTCTTTTAATTAAATGTTTCTTCTTATAAGTGTGAGGATAGTCTGAAATCATGGCCTGGTCTCCAAGCAGAGACTCCATTCAACTGGGTCGTGCTTGTTAGTCTCTTGCAATGGGGTAGAAGAAAGAATCCCATATAAATTACTAATCATCACTAAATCAGTCACATGTAACATGAAATAATTTGATAGACGAAAAATTTAATAAACTGTATGTCAGTCTAGTTTTTTTGATTCTATAATTATATCAATTATACATCAATTATAATTACATCAACGTATATAAAAATATAACCAATATATATTTTTATTGTTGGCCCCATTGATAGGAAAGCATTTAAGGCTTTAAAGAGTGGCTTCAAAAGCAGTACGATGTTGTTTTCTGCAGAGTTGTAAGGGACACCCGAATCTTGCCTTGGCACAGCCACCCTTCTCTGACGGAATGCCTAAGGGATACAGATGAAAGGTAAATCCAAATGCCAGTTCATTGTTAATTGGGCTAGACCCCAAATCCTAGCTATTTGTAAATCAAACTGGAACAGATTGCTTAGACTAGACCTAATAATCTAATCCTTTTCCCAAGAAAGAATCTTACCACCAGGTGACCACAAAATGAAAGCAGCCAGCATTCACATGTAAAAAAAAGAAGAGCGTAAAGACAGATATCTGCTGGCTTTCTTTTCAAGTCAGCCCGGTGAAGTAGGAAGCCAATGATACTTATTAGTAAGTAAATGTAGCCAGTCTTCTACTGCAGCCTTCTTCTTCTGAGTCAATTAGGTTAGTATTCCATTCACTCAGAGAAAAACAAGGAAAGTAATAGGTACAGGAGCAGGAACCTTACCTCGTCCCTTGCAGGATTGTTGAGTGCTGGAAAAAGCAGGCCCATTCTCTCACCCTGCTCCTAGAATACTCTGTGGAAGCAGAGGAAGGCATCAGCTGCCACCAAGGATAGTTCACCTAAGACTATCGCACATGCCTTGTACACAACCACCAAAGGCAGAATCAGGAAACCTTCAGACAGAGTCCCAACCATCTGGGGATGATCTCCAACAAAGAAATTCCAGGGCAATGATCTAGAGTTGTAATTCTTTGCTCTGTAGATAAAAATTCTGCTAAAAGAAAACAATTTTGTCATTATTTCCCACTGCTGTCTATTAGACTGTGCATTCCTTGGAAGGAAGATCTATTCTTACTGTTATCTGTGTGCCTGGCAATAAATGTTTGATGAATGAATGGAGCAGTCAGAGGAGATACCCAATTAATTTTCACAGTAAGGGTCAGGGAGAGGAGAGGCATTTGAAGAAAGCTGCACAACCAGACACACTAAATATAACAATTTTTCATTCTGATTTGTAAGCTGAAGATAATGATACAAAATATTTGCATATTTTATTAATTACACATACATGGCTGTTATTCAGCTTCATGTTATGAGATAATAGGAAGATGCAAAAGAGGAGAGCATCCATCAAGTAGAGTTACAAGGGGTTCTGCATATTACTAAGCATGCTTTTTAAGTTTCTGAGCTAGAGAAGGTATGTAAGTTATTAGACGAATAATTTTAAGGGGAGACATCAAGGCTTCCATCTTTAACATGAAGACTGTAGATATACATCCTGTCCTTCAACACAATGTCGGGCACGTGCCAGGCATTGCACCAGACACCAAAGGTTGAGAGATAAATAGAGCATGACTCCTGGCCTCACAGAAGTCCCATTCTAGCTAGGTTTCAAACACATCCATGGGAATGTGGGAAAGGAAGTATTGTTTATTTATGTGCATCTAGATGACTAGTAGGAGAAAACATTTTTATAAGATCTGAAGTATAATGAAAATATTTCCCCATGTTAACTTTGGGTGAAGGGATGAGTGTTAGGCCAAAGTTAGGTGGTATGGACTGAACGCTAGTGGCCCCTAAAGTCCATATGTTGTAACCTAATACCTGATATGATGGTATTAAGAAGTGTGCCATTTGGAAGAGATTAAGTCATGAAGGTCCCACCCTCACAAATGAGATTAGTTCCCTCCCAGGGGGCATCCTTGCTTCTTCCTCCCTGGAAGGACACTGCGAGGAGATGCCATTCCTGAGGAACAGGCCCATATCAGACACTGTATCTGTTGGTGCTTTGATCTTGGATTTCCCAGCCACCAGAACTGTAGACAATAAATCTATGTTCTTCATCAATCACCCAGTCTCAGATGTCTTGTTATTGCAGCCCAAAGGGACTAAGACATAGGACAAGAGAGTAGATTTGGGGAGGGGAGTTAAAAGGGAAGATGATGGAGACCATGGAATAACACAAGGATGAAAGTGTATGGTGTTCCTTGGAGACTTGGTTCTCTGGTGGCTAAAGCAGAACTTGTAGGTGTGGAAAGGACTGAGAATCTGTGGAGAAGAGAGTGGTGCAAAGAGGCTTTAAGACAGACTGGGGCAGAGGGTGAGTACTCCTGGCTCTGTGCTGAAGAGCTGACCTGTCAGTCCCTCAAGGTTCCTCTGTGATTGACCCTACTTCCAGATTGGTGTTCTCTGCTACTCTTCTCAGGGACTCTGATTCCAAGCTCTTTGCTTGTTCTCTGGGATCATACTTAATGAATTATCTTTTGCATTAATCTGTCCTTTTTTCTCGTGTTTTCCCTTTAGTCTATAAAAAGCTTGAAATGTCTTGCATAATTAAAAGAACTAAACAAATGGGTACCCCTCACCAGCTACCATGCTCTTTCTTTTCTACCCTTCCCTTCATGAAGACTGATCCATGTTCTTAGAATTACTTCATCTCCCCTCCTCCTGCCTAATCCCACTGCAGTCCTAATTCTGCCCCACCATTGCGCTCTCCCTGCTCTGACCAACATCACTGACCCTGTTATTGCCAATTCTCTGGGACGCTTTTGCATCCTTATCTCAGTGGGTCTCCTGTTGCGTTTGCGTGTCATGTGTGTTCTCCTTCTGAGTCCTTTCCACTTCCCTGGCTTCACACGTGTTCACTTCCCTCGTTTACCACTCATTCTCTCTCAGAATGAGGGCCCTCCTCTACCTGCCATTTAATGTTGATGTCGTTCAAAATTCAGCTCTTGTTCTACTTTTCTTCTCATTCTATGTTCTTTTCATATTCACTCATAGTTTGAACTGCCAAATATATATATGATGATGTCTTTGATATCTGTCTCTCTAGCTTGCTCTTCTCTGAATTTTAGATTTCTACATCCAACTTCCACCTATCGATAACCACTTAGCTATTCCACAATATCTCAAACTCTCAAAATTCAAGGGATAGTGTAATGATCTCCTCCAAATGTGCCCTTTTCTTGTGTTATCTAATACCAGCTCATGGCATTATTATTCACCATGTCATAAAATCAACTCTTATTCTAAACTACTTTCTCTCTTTTATTACACTCACTCTTTCAGATAGCTAATTATAACATTTGGTAATTTTACCTCTAAATTTTTTTTTTTGCTTATTTTTTTTTTTTTTTAAATGGAGTTTCATTCTTGTTGCCCAGGCTGAAGTGCAATGGTGCGATCTCAGCTCACTGAAACCTCCACCTCCCAGGTTCAAGTGATTCTCCTGCCTCAGTCTCCTGAGTAGCTGGAATTACAGGCAGGCGCCACCACGCCCAGCCAATTTTGTATTTTCTTAGTAGAAACAGGTTTCTCCATGTTGGTCAGGCTGGTCTCGAACTCCTGATCTCAGGTGATCTGCCCACCTCGGCCTCCCAAAGTGCTGGGATTACAGGCATGAGCCACCACACCTAGCCTAAAATATTTTTCAGTTGTGTCCTTTTCTCTATACAAATACCAGCCTCAAGATCTGTTGCCTGCATAACTACAATGTCCTCCCAATCAATACATTTTACCCTAGTCTTATTTCATGTTTATAACACTCTTCATCCAACCTCTGGAGTGAATCTTCTTAGATGTGGTCATGAACTTCCCTGATTAAAACCGATTATTGATTCCCCATTACTCAAGATATGCAAACTCCATACCATGGTGTATGCTTGCTTGTTTAAGATCATCAGAAGGTTTCTCACTGAACTTGAAGTGAAATCCATATAATTTACCATGCTCTCCAGGGCCTTGAGAAGAAGGTGCATTAGCTCATCAATCTCATTTCTGGCCGCTTCCCCAATCCCCACTTGCTTTTGTAGGCACAATGGTCTTCCTTTGGTTCTGCAAGAAGTCAAGCTCTTTCTTAGCATAGGGTCCTTGCAATAGAACCCTCTCCAATTTTGCATGTACTAGTTTCGTCTTGTTTTCAAATGAGACCTGCCCAGAGAGCCCATCCCTGGCCATCACATTTGAAGTACATCTATCCTCTCACTTTTTATATCAATAACTTACATTTTCCTTCATAGTATTCATCAGAACTTGCACTACTTTTATGTATTTGGCTCTAAAGCTATAGATTGCTAACTCCAGACAAGCTGGGCGAGCTTCCTTTCTGGTTTATTCTGTATCCTCAGCAGAGTATGCGATCAGTAGAGGTTAAAGGGCTATGTGATGTATGTGATCTTCATGAATCCTTCACTCCTACTTCCTTCTCCATCCCTCTGAGCCTCAGCTTCCTACATCATTGTTTATGTTTTCATAATACTGAACTGTTTGCCATTGTTGAAAAACTCTTCGTACCTTTTCTCCTGCTCTTATGACTGCCTGGATAATAATCTATGCTTCTTTTTTGTCTGAGCCTGGATGACTTTTTGAGCCTCAACTTGTCATCTTTCCTCCAGGAAGCCTTTCTGAAAACAGAGGCAATGCTAAGTCCTGTCCCTTTGAGCTTCACTGGGCTCTGGCCCCTATCTGTAACAAGCTTTCCGTGTTCTATGAAGACGGCTGCTTTTGGATATCACCCCACCCTCCCAATCACACAACCTTACACCAATACCTTACAGGAAGGCCCATATCTCATCTCTCCTGGTACCATCATCTCCAACTACGCTCCTAACAAATAAGTACTTCTCTAAGGAGTCTATTTTTGAACTTTACTCTTCAGGTAACAGAGATTTCAAGAGTTAAGCACCAACGTGGTGCAATTCAGCGTGTTCTTTTAAATAAATCTTCGCGGCTCTATGGAGGCTGCTCTACGGAGGCTGGACTGTCACAGGTAGAGCCTGATGCACGAAGATGAGACCCTGAGATTGGGCAAGCAGGAGATGCTGCGCCAGGGTAGCATGCAGCCAAGGTTGCTTTCGAGACACACACTCTAAGACAAGGGAGCCCATTTGAAACGGTAATGACAGGGAAGGTGGACAAAAGGGGTGGGGAATCTAAGATGACCAAGTTTTCTGATTTGATTAAGTGAGTGAAGGGTATAACCATCTAAAAAGCAAAATGGTATTTGACGAGGCTGCCAATGTGGTGCGATTAGTATTCCAATAATCTGTGAATTCTATCAGCCTCTCCCATCAGTCACAGAACAATTCAGTTTGCGCATTCTCCTTTCTGAATTAACTGATGTTCCTTTTGCTTATTGGCACACTCGAATATTTACCAATAGTGTAAAATAAGAACGGGAGTACCCTTCTTGTCTCTTAACCCATAAGTCCATTTGTCTTTCATGTTCAGTCTATGTAATTTAGAATGTAGCCAGTATAGAGGAGACACATTTTTTGTTTTACTTTCCTGAAAGATAGTACTGTCTTGAGGTAATCAATTTTGCACATTTACTTTAATTGTGAGTATCAACTACCAAATTTCATTAATCCTTCTCTTGACTCCTATATCATTTTACATAATTTCCAATTGCTGTCAATTCTTTAATGAACTTCACTCTAGTGACTAAACAATGGGCTTTGAGAAAAAAATATATACATATATATGTGTAAAAAATCCAAAGAATTACCTTAATGTAAGATGGTTTTTTCCTGAGTGAATTTTGTATATACACTAAGAAAAAAAACCTAATAAAATGTTTTTAAAGTGGAAAAAATTAAATATCATCAAAATAATTAAAATGCTTGTCCATATTAGACCTATCCTATTTACTAAAGAAAGATTTGCTCAAGTATTTCCTTCCTGGCAAGTATCTTAACTTTAAGTTTCATTTTCCCCAGTTAAAAAATAAGACTAATAATTGAATTAGTCAAGGGTTTGTGGAATGCAACTCAAATTAGCTTAGGTACAAAAAGACTTTTTACCACAGCTTTGTGAAAAGTGTGGAAGATAGCAAGCACGGGTTCACTCAGGCAGTGTCCGTGAACTCAGACGAGTGTGCTCTCCATCACTCATGCCTGCTTTTTCTGGGATGGGCTTCATTTCCAGACAGAGGCCATAATATGTCAGGTCCTATGTAATTCTGAACCTGTCAGAAAAAAAGATTGCAACTTTCCTACTCTTTCCAACAAGCTTTCCAAAGAGGAACAATTAGTCATATTTGGATCATGTGACTATCCCTGAACCAATTAATGTTTCCAGGGAGAAGGCGAACCCTGACTCTCCAGTTCATGGGTCCAGCATTTGGTCCAGGGAAGCAAGATTTTTCCACCAGACCTGGAGGTGCCGGAGAGCTGCACAGAATCAGGAACGGGTGGCCCCCTTAGGAAGGGGAAAACATACAGCAAAAACTAGATTTCCAATAATACACATTGCAAGGTGGTTGACAGGGTAAATTAAAGAATGGATAAAAGCACATGAGAAATCTCCGTAAATGATGGCTTTATTAATTACTAGAGTAAAATATTAATACAGTCGTGGCCCTGTTCTACCTTCTGTGTGCAGAGGAGAAGGCTGTCTTTGCCTGACCAGTTCTTGGGCCTTTAATGTGAAGGTTGAATGTAAAGGTAAGAGATGCAGAGTTGGCGAATCTAGGAAAGTAAAAGGCATCATACATTGATCTAACATTTACTGAGTCTCTATCCTGCTCTAGACATAGTTCTAGGTGCTGGAATACCACAGAGGACCTAAACAAATGAGGCCTCCACTCTTGTGTACTCGTGTCAACAAAATAATTTCAGATATGACTGAAGACTAGAGTCTATAACACAGACTAGAAGTCTATAATACAGAATAATAATATTAAGGTAACACAGAATAGTCTTATTAATATTAAAATAATTCAGATTAATAATATTAAAACTTGACTAGGATTGAATTACTTTAAATTGAGTGGTCTGTGGATGCCTTGGCAGGAAGTTGATACGCAAATGATGCAAGTCAGTCAGTACCTACTAGTTGGACTGCAGTGACCGAGACGGACAATAGTAGAGACAAAGATGGAGAGAAAACAGGGTCCTGTATGCTCTGATGAAGGATTTCAATTTGATTCCTTTGAAGCAAAAGGCATTAGAAGCCGTTGAAAGATTTTGAGCAGAGACATAACATAACGTGATCTGCTTCAGGCTGTTCGAAGAACTATGCTAGCTTGTAAAAACAAAATAGAAGATAAAACAGATTAATGGGAGCCAGAGTGGAAACAAGGCACTGATTAGGAAGCTTTTGTATTCCATGTGGTGATGATGATGACATGGAGTATGGAGGTTTCCACAGAGATGAAAAGTAGACCAATACCAGATACATCTTGGTGATAGAATTAGCAAGACTCATTATTGGGTCAGATATGGAGTCTGAGGGTAAAAAAGATCAAGGGTGGTTTCTAGATTTCAGTCTTTAATAACTGGGTGGATAAAAAGGTAGGAGGAGTAATCAATTTAGGGATTTTAAAAAATCGACAAGCGTTTCCTTTTGCACAGGTTAACTGAGCTGTCTATTAGACATCCAAGCAACAGTGTCAAATAGGAAGGCAGCCACATGAGTTTGAATGGGTTAGGCTGAGGGTATAAATATTAGCATCATTAGCATATACATAGTATTAAGAGCTCCATATTGGATGAGCTATCCTAGGGAAAGTTTGGATACTGAAGACTACAGGACCTAAAACTAAACTCTGAGGCCCAAATATTTAGGTGCTCAGCACAAAAAGAGGAGACAACAGTTTGACTTAGAAGAATGCAGTGATCGGTGAAGTACAAAAAAGAAAAGCATAGAATTGCAATGTGGCGGAAAAAGATCTTCAGAACAGAATGGATGTCAAATGTGTCTGAGAGGCAAAGTACGACCAGGAGAGAGAAGTGACCCTTGAACTGGCCAACACCACAGGTGCCTTCGGCATCTTTGGTACCACTGGTGACCTGGACAGGAACAGTTTCAGTGGAATGGTGCTAATGGAAGCCCAGATGCCTTGGGTTGTAAAGAAAATGTGAAGTAAAGAATTAGAGAAATGGGCCAGTAGCTGTAGGAAGACATGGGTCAGTGTGCTCGAGGGAGAGTTTTCTTAAGCCGTGAATTTATGGAGCAAGCTGATGATAAGAATTCAGAAGAAGATGGGAAACTGAGATGCACAAAAAGGAGGATTCTTTGCTGGGTAAAAGTCCCTAGAAGTGGAGAAGGGCAAGATACAGAGCACCAGTGAGGAGCTGCCTTTGATCGGAGCCAGGGATCTTCATCCACCACCACAGGAGAGAAGACAAAGTGAGTGCGTAGAGACAGAAGAATTTAGAGTTGACAGTGAACAAAGAGAAAGTTTCATTCTGAGAACTTCTGTGCTCTCAATTACATATGTGACAAGATAATTTGCTGAAATTTTAAACCTTTGGAAATATCTGGGAAAAAAAGGGCAAAAAATTGTTTCAAAAACTGAACAAGTTAAACTGGATAGGCAAAGATACCTGGATTGTAGGGTCATGTAAACTGCCACTGGAGATTTACGGATGGTTTTAGACAGAATGCAGCCAACCAGGGTGTGTGTTCTTCTCCAGCCACGTTTAATACACAGACAGTTGGGTTTAACCAAGTTAGGGATTTTGCTGGTGAAAATGACATTGAGAAAGTGGCAAGGGAGGTTGGGGTGTTTGAAAGCAATTAATTGCATATACGGTTCATGTAAACTGAAATAGGGAAGGAGAAAAAGGAGACATGTTGAGGACTATGTATCATTTAAAAAGCAGTGGACTCAGTGAACCCTGAAAACTCCTGGAATAAAGGGAAACGATAGATTCCAAAGACTTAATGGGTACAATAATTACAGTCCACCTGGGCTGGATTTGGTGAGTATGAAGAAGTTTGGAGAGAGGAAGCAAGAGCTAGACGACATGCAGCACTATTCACAATAGCCAAGAAATGGAATCTGCCTCAGTATCCATCAACAGGCGAATGGACAAAGAAAATGTGATACATATACACAATGGAGTACTATTCAGCCATAAAAAAGAATGAAGTCTTATAATGCACAGCAGCATGGATGGAACTAGAGGTCATTATATGAAGTGAAATAAGCCAAGTGCAGAAAAACAAATATCACATGTTCTTACTCATGGAGGAGCCAAAAAAAATAATTATCTCATGGAACTAGAGAGTAGAATGATGGCTGCCAGGGACCAGAAAGGGTGTGGAGTGGGGCAGATAGAGATTTGATTAATGGGTACACAAGCACGATGAGACAGAAGAAAATCAGTTCTAATATTCAATAGTACAGGAGGGAAATTATGGTAATTTTTTGTATATTTTTAAATAGTTAGAAAGAAGGATTTTGAATGTTACCAACACAAGGGAAAGATCAATGTTTGAGGTGATGGAGATCCTAATTACCCTGATTTGATCATTATACATTGTATTGTGTATGATTATACATATTTTTGGAGTACATGTGATATTTTAGTATACAACATATTGTATATTATACATAAATATATATACAATATATTTTAATATACAATATATTGTATTAAAATATCACATGTACTCCAAAAATATGTATAATTATACAGAATATAAATGTTATTGATATGTGGTATCAATCAATATAACATATCAATAACAGATAAGTTAAAACTGAAGAAAAGATCTAGGCAACAGCTCTGTCGGTATGTGAAATAAGTGAAAAAACATAATAAACAAGTATTTCAGGAACCTTTCTTGGTATTTTTTTGAGGTACCTCCATACAGATTCACAACAGCTTTACAAGGACGTTGTGGTGTGGGGCTGGCGTTTCTTTGAACCTGACCCCGCGCTGAGAGCCCTGCCCGAACTGCACAGGGGATTTGGACTCTTCTTGGTTATCATATCATCGTCGTATTTCCATAAAGGCCGGGTTATCTTTTAAAGAGGTTTAATAATAAAATTCCCAGTTTATTGTTCCAATAAATAAAGCTGTGTGGGCAGACACCATGCCCGTTCATTTCCACGTCGCCCGTGGCTGCTTTTGCAGCACAGCTGCAGAACTGAGTAGTCACCATGGCGACCACACAGTCCACCAAGTCCAAAACATCTACTCCCTGGCTCTTGGAGGGAAAGTGTGTCCACCTCTGATTTAGGACATAAACCACGTGGCCCCTTTCCAAAACTCTCCTACCGTTCCATTCCCAATCTTCCCACTCTTCTTCAACCTCACTCGCGGTTCCACAACCCCATGGACGTCCTTTCTGCTTCTTAAATGGAGCAAGTGCTTTTCAACCACAGTGCTTTTGTCCCAACCGCTCCTGGGACCCAGAACACTCCTGCCCAGTTCTTCATAAGGCCAGCTTGTCTCACCATTCAAGCTTCAGCCTCCACATCTCCTCCCCAAGGACGGATCTGGGGCAGTGCATGCCACACTTTCCGTCGGAGCACTAATTACTGTTGCAGACTTACTTGCTTGCTTGCTGGTGTGCTTATGGGCTGCTTCCCTCCCTGAGAATGTAAGCTCTGTTGGGATGGGGCCCATGTCCACTTCTTGCTCACTGCTTGTATCTCCAGAGCCTCAGGCCTGGCACCAAGGAGGTGGTCAGTGAAAACTTGTTGAATGAATAAAAACGAAAAGAGAGTTATAAAGGGCTAAGCACTTTGCAATATTACATATTTTCTTTCATGATACTCCTTTGAGGTCCATCCTTTAAAGAGCTTGCTCTCTAGTTGAACACATGGAGAAATGGCCTTGAAAATAATCCAATAGGCCACACTTACAAAGCAGCATGCAGGATTAATGGTACGTGCGGGCTGCAGCTTATTGAAATGCTTGGCCTGCGCTTTGGAGGTACATTTTGGAGACTGATTTCTACGGTTATGATTGCTCTTCATGAATCACTGGGGTTTAGCTAGACCATGTAGAACACTAATAATAAATGCGCATGTGAAGAGAATTGGATCAATTATCCAAACACTACAATTCAGTCAAAACAGGATTTATTGCTGAAGGATAAAAGGAATATTCCCATAGCTTAAACCTGAGCTTAAGTGTGACTGCTCATTACGTTCACTGGGTACATGTTTCGCTGTTTGCTTTGCCTTTTAGGATGAGACTAATTTGTATTTACATGACACTTTTCTAGTGGCTTATAAGAAAGCACACGTGACTGAGAGTTAAAAGCCTAGCTTGAACTTCCAGAACGTTATTTCAGTGAAACCCATATCCAATTTATTTACTAATTATTTCAAGTTTTAATTGTTTCTAAATTATCATTTTTTTATCCATAAAAATATTCTTACATAATTTGAGGAAAATAAATCAGAATATTTTTTCTAATTTCTTAAAGTGCACTGCACTTTATAAAAATAATAATCATTATTATTAATGAATATAAAAATATATGTGATCACTATTGATATTAAAGTATTTACTATGGTAATGCCAACAGCTAATTGTCACTCCT